TTTCATGAGATATTGAACGTCAAATAAGAATATGAAAAATTTCCCTTGACCACACTAATTTTTCTGACATTTTATCACCTATTTCTCAAAATGAGAATATTCAAATGCAAAGTTTTTTTCCCCCTAAAAATATAGAAAGATTTCTATCAAACAATGCCTACCTTTTGACTCTCCTTGCTACGGTCTTGGAGTTATGAGTCATTATTTTTGTGTATGGCACTCAGAAAACAACAGTTTTAAAAATGCCTTCAGGGAGTCAAGAGCTAAAAAAAGGCCTATTTTGTTACAAAATACTGTAACTTTTGGATACTTTATGCTGTCACCACAAAATTGAAACAAATACAGCTAACATGCTGGGGAACATCATCAAAAAAGAATTTTCCTCCTACCTTATTTTTTTCTGAGATATTGAATGTCAAATAAGACCGATATGAAAAATTTATCTTGAACACCCAACATTTTCTTACATTTTCTCAGCTATTTCTCAGCAGGAGGATGTCCAAATGAAATATTTCTCCCTGAAAATAGAGAAAGTTTCCTATCAAACGATACCAACCTTTTGACTCTCCTTGCTACAGTCTTCGAGTTATGAGTCATTATTTTTGTGTATGTCACTCACAAAAAACATCAACTTCAGTGATGCAAAAATGCCCTCAGGGCTTAAAAGGTTAAAGCACATGCAATAATGTACTTTTGTGATTACGATTAAATGCAGTGTCCCGTGAGTTTAACTCTACCGCTGAGTTAACATTTGATGTATGTCGCTTTGTACAGTATATTGGGACGGAGGCGCCAGAACTGCAACTGATAGAATGTGCGCTATAGCACGATACTACGATATTTCTTCAAAAGCAGATTGTTGAAACATTTTAATCATCCACAATTAAAAATTGTGATATCGCACACTAGAGCTGCATGATTAATCGTTAAAAGGTTGCGATCTCGATTCAAACACCCACGCAATCTAATTTCTCAATGACAACGATTCGTCTGTGTCTGTTAAACCTTTGAAAAAGTCCTACCTGAACATTCAAATCTGTATATATAAATATACAAATATTTTATATATTTAAATTTGTAACCATTAAAAATTAAACTAATTCAACACTTTTAAACTGACTGCAGCAATTAATATTTTGTCACAGCCTTTTGTAAATTACGCATTAATTTGTTAAGTTCAGAATCGTGGGAGAATCGTGATCTCTATTTGAGACAAAAAATCGTGATTCTCAATTTATCCAGAATCATGCAGCTCTATCGCATACCCCTTCTGTGAACTGAGCTGCTCTGAAAACACTGTGTAAATGAACACAGTACCACTCTTTACACTGAAACACACAGCAAAAAGACTGCTGTATAGACTTCTTTAATTAAATTGGAAATTTTTTATTTTGATATTTAGAATTTTCATAATATACAGTGCCTTGCGAAAGTATTCATGCCCCTTCATTTTTTTCACATTTTGTTATGTTGCTGCCTTATGTTAAACTGCTTTAAAAAAATGTTTTTCCACATGACAGTCCATTCTACACTCCATACACCATAATGGTAAAGCAAAAAAATGTTTTTTAACATCTTTGCAAATTTATTAAAAACAAAAAACTAAAATGATTCCATTGCATAAGTATATACAGTATATCTGGGACAGTTGAAATTTAGCTCAGGAGCATTCTATTGCATGTAGATGTTACTTAATAAAAGGTCTAACAGCTGATAATGCATATCAGAGCAAAAACCAAGCCCTGAGGTCAAAAGAGCTGCCTGTAGAGCTCAGAAACAGGTTTGCGTCAAGCCACACATCTGTGGAAGAGTTCAGAAAAAAATTCTGCTTCATTGAAGGTTCACAGAAGCACAGAAGTCTCTGTTACCCTTAATGGAAGATGTTTGAGACAGCCAGGACTCTTCCTAGAGCAGGCCTCCTGGCCAAACTGAGCAACTGATGGAGAAGGGCTTCGGTTAATGTGGTGACCAAGAACCTGATGGTCACTCTAGTTGAGCTCCATGATCATATGTGGAGATAGGAAAAATCTACAGAAGGACAAACATCACTGCAACACTCCACCGATCTGGGCTTTATGGCGGTGTGGCAAGACTTAATCCTCTCTTCAGTTAAGACACATGAAAACACACTTGGAATTTACGAAAAAGCACCTAAAGGACCCTCAGACTCTGAGAAACAAGATTCTCTGGTCTGATGAACCTCAGTTCTATCATGTTTGCAGCATGTTTGAAGGAAACCAGCTCTGCTCATCACCTGCAGAGTACCATTCCAAAAGTAAAGTGTGCTGGTAGCAACCTCATGCTGTGGGGCTGTTTTTCAGCGGCAGGGACTGAGGGACTCGTCAGAGTAGAAGGAACGCTCAGTGCAGCAAAATATAGAGATAGCCTTAATGAAAACCCAGCCCAGAGCATTCAGAACCTCAGATAAGGCAGAAGGTTCACCTTCCAACAGGACAATGACCGTAAGCATACAGCAAGAGTGGCTTATAGACAACTCTGTGAATGTCCTTGAGTGGCCCAGCCACAGCCTGGGATTGAACCCAATCAAATATTTCTGGAGAAACCTGAAAATGTGCATCTGCCCCCATCCAACCTGACAGAGCTTGAGAGGTGAAGAGATGAGGAGAAGAATTGCAGATAATTGCCAAATGCTGATTGCCAATAAGCTTGTCGCATTAAACAAAAAAGACTTGAGACTGTAAAAGTGCTTCAGCAAAATATTTAATTATATATATATTGTATATGTATATATGTATATAAATATGTATATATTAATGAAATATATACATATTTCAGTTTTGTATTTTTAATAAATGTATGAAGTTGTGACAATTCTGTTTTTGCTTTGTTAGTATGGTGTATGGAGTGTAGATTGATGTGGGGAAAAAAAGTAATTTAGAGCAGTTTAACATAAGGCAGCAACATAACAAAATTTGAAAAAAAATTAAGGGGTATGAATACTTTCACAAGGCACTGTATATTACTATTTGAGTTTTAATTTAAATAATTGTGCAGCCCCATTTGCTTATTTTAATGGGAAACCCTGCTTTAGACAAAGTAAATATTTAGTGTCACATTTTTGCAAAGTTACGCAGTTGTCATATTTCATCTCATTTCCTTGTCGATACTTCCTGTGCTGACAATCTGTGAAAGCATCTTTCAGTAGTTCCAAAATATTCAGTTTCTCTCACTGTTTGGTATTTCTACCATTTGTAACACTTCAGTTTATCTTTTCATAGACCATACTGTTAACCAAGGTGCTGCAGTACCTTCATACATTTAAACACTGGCTCGCGCATTTCCTTTCTGTGTTTCTGTAGGGTTTTTTTCTCACACACGTTTATGTTTTCTTGTTCTCTCTCACTCTTTGTGTTTGTGTGCCCCTGTCTTTTGTCCTGCACTCTCACTTCCCCTTTTTATCTATGGGAATCCAAGGCCAGAGGAGAAAGAGTGAGAGGACAGGGCCTCCAGAGTTCCTGGAATCCATGCCAAACTTCTACATCCCTCCTCTCCTCCCTTTTTCTCTGGCTGCTGCGGTCACTACTGTTTAGTCTGCACAGGGCCGTTCTCAGCCCGTAGATCAAAACACAGCCACGTTTCCTAACTGCAAACGGGGCCCTCCATTGTTTTTGTCTGTGTGTGTGTGTGTGACCCTGGGTGTCTCTAACGTAAAGTATTTTTCTCTTTCTGATTTCAGTGGCTGTTCCGAAGGTCTTGCTATGTCTGTTATGTTTCATGGCCTATTTAATCTTATTTATACTAGAGATGTACAAAATGACATTTTTTTAAATCAACTAGTCTTAAGGATGCCCTGTCAAATTGTAGGATTATGATAATATGCATGTGCTATTGTGTTCAAAGTTGTTGCATCTCTAAAGTCATTCAAGGAGGTCTGCAGTAGGACCCTCGGAAGTGCAAGATTTGAAATCTTGCCATCTTTGCTTATGAGACCTCAGAACTCACAGAACTGGTTCTCAGCCAGGGGGCCTTAAGATGACTTAACAAAGACAAAACAAGCATTTAAATAAGCTAGAACTAGGAATAAAAAGCAGGAAAACCTGGATATATATTGATAATAAATAATAAACTAATACATTTGTATTTTTTGAATTTATTTATTTGTTTATTTTAAGAAATGTGTTTTGCTGACCCAGACTGCATTTATTTGAAAGGTTTTTTGAAAAATAAATTCACAGAGAAAAAAGTTTAAAAGAACAATGGAAAATTGTACATTATTACCAATTTATTTTACATAATTACCTATTTATTTCAGGCACTGCTAAATCATTGACATTAGTAAAACAGCAATATATACTGTATGTGGCTTTGAAAAAGAATATTTTTTTGGAAAAACATCTCATTTTAAATGGCTTTCATACAGAAAGATCGTTTTTGCCTGCAGAGCGTGTATTTACATCGACTAATGAGCTAGCGGGGCCATGCTAACCAGACATACCATGATCTCTTGAATTCATATTTAATTCTCACTCTGTTTTCATTCTCTCAGGTACACACTGGATGAATTTGGAACAGCTCGGCGGTCTGCCGTGGTTCGAGGCTTTATCGACGCCCTGACCCGCGGAGGACCGGGCGGTACCCCGAGACCCATAGAGATGCACTCTCATGATCCGATGAGGTAGAGTCTACGACAAGTGCACATCCCAACCCTCCCACCCAATAATTCCATTCAAAAGCTTGCGGAAAGACAATGGATGACATTTTCTCTTCTGTGCGCTAAAAATAATCACTTCAAACCGCTATAATTGGTGGGGTCATTTTGAGGGTCACACCGTTGTTAGCAGCTAAAAGCCTTTCCATTGTTGATTAACGTCTTCACACACAGAGCCACCATGCAGCTCCTCTATGTGCCACATCTCCCGAAGCTGAAAATCCAATTCAGTGTCTAAGCACATTAAACCCAACCTGATTCTTTCAGGGAAGTGCTTCCTCTTTCAGAGAATTACTTAGTGCAGGTTCAACAAAAGGTCGGCTGTTGAGATCTATGGATTGTCGCACGCGCTCCTGGCCAGCACCCCGTCAAGCTTTCGAGTGCCCTCCTCTCCCCATCCCGTTTGGAACCTGAGGAGAGAACATGAGGTTCTTGGCAGAACGTCGATAAAAGTGGGAAGCAGTGGTTCTCAGAACAGCACTTTCCCCCGCTGTCCGGTATTAAAGGATATGGAGCCGACGTAATGATAGCTGACTGTGTGATGGCCTCAAATCTCAGGAAATCTATAACTCTATTAGATGTAACTACAAATCTAGAAGACATTCCAAATAATTATTCATCTAGCCATTCAGTTCCTGACTGTGCAATTCAGCACCAAGCTGTTTTTAATGATGTTTCCATCACATTATATGCTTAAAATATACACAATTTGATGCGCACATGAACACAAGCACTCAACACATGCACTAGAGTTCAAAATGGCTTTGTATTTGATTAAACTAGAGTTGCAAGTATCTTTTAGTTCCCTCACACAAGCACTCTTCCATGTGGGTGTCTATTGTTGTCGTCTTCAGTAGTTTGTTGAGCGTACATTGTATAATTAAGAAGATCTGACTGTGCACATACTATGATGATGAGGAAATTTGCATCTTGTACACTATATGCATATCCAAGCATACATGTAAAAAACAAAATATAATTTGGGTTATAGGGTTAAGGCCATTACACAACAAGCTAACAGTTGTCCATTTTTGGACTGTCATTGAGTCTCTGCTCATTTTTTGTTGCATGTTCCTTACCGTCGGCACAAGTTGGACCCTGTGTCTGGCTTTTTGGCCATTTGAGCATGTTGAAGCAGCAGTTGCATTTTGAGCAGTTAGTTCTTAGAGATCAGTCTGGTTGGCTTGTTTAACTTGGTGAACCAGTGCACAAGAAAAACCTAAAGTGATGAAAGCAAGCAAATGACAAAGTCAAGAGGGCACACAGATGGCTCTTCTCATTTTACTTCTTCCTTTTAATTTCATATTATCAACCGCCTGAAAAAGCAAATTTAGGGGCCTTAGAAATTTGTGAATCAAATATGATATAGAAGCCTTTATAGGGGTAAAGTAATATTGTGTATAGGTTTCCATGCATTTTTATCTTTGTTTATGCTTATACATACAATCATCCAACCAGGTATGTTGGGGACATGTTGGCCTGGCTCCACCAAGCCACAGCCTCAGAGAAGGAGCACCTGGAAGCCTTGCTCAAGCAAGTTACCGTGCAAGGTACATGTCATTCCACCTAAATCTCATACCGCACAAACACAGTGAATACACTGGAAGATAACTTTTCTAGTTCAGAACTAATTTGCTTTCAATATGAACAAATCTGTCTACATTTGGGCATGTCACATTTGACTAGTGCCCCATTTTTTTTATCACTTAACTTTTTTCTGTGCATCTAAAGATTAAAGATATTATATGTCAATTGATTGTTCTAGATTTGTTACATATTTAATTATGTTATTTAAGTTTAAGTGACATTTATTTCACTTATCGAAAGTCAGTTTTAACATCAATGGATTTCTCTTGAAAACCAAGTGGGATGCATTCACCCATTGTACAGTTGCTGAAGTCTTGCCTCCATTGTTAAAGTGCGGTCATATTAGCAAAACTGCGCTGTAAAAAAGGTCAGTTCCAATTCCAGTAGGAATCTGTGAGATTTTAACTTTCACATGAAGCCAAGTTGGTCTTGCAGATTTGCTGACTAACCATCAGAAAGTTGCTTGGTTTTGAAAGTGATTTCTGTGTGAGCTGTGCTTCATACATCTCTAAGCTATTGACAATGGACGGTGGACCTTTTATTGGCCAAATTTTATTAATGTGACCACACCTTAAAGGGATAGTTCACCCAAAAATGAAAATTCTGTCATTAATTAGTCACTCTCATGTCGTTCCAAACCTGCAAGGCCTTCGTTCATCTGCGGAACACAAATTAAGATATTTTTGATGAAATCCAAGAGCTTTTTGACCCTCCATAGACAACAATGTAACTGAAATGCCAGGCCCAGAAAATTGTGCACAAAGAAAACAAAAATAACGACTTTATTCAACAATTCTTCTCCCCCGAGTTACCATCTTCTGCCATTATCAAGAGTACCACGACGCATTCTTACGAGCAGAGGAACTCTCTCAAGGGAGAAAAATAGTTGAGTAAAGTCTTTTTTGTTTTGTTTTGTTTTCTTTGCGCACAAAAAGTATTCTCGTAGCTTTGTAAAATTACGGTTGAACCACTGATGTCACATGGACTATTTTACCGATGTCCGTGCAAGGTACATGTCATTCCACCTAAATCTCATACCGCACAAACACAGTGAATACACTGGAAGATAACTTTTCTAGTTCAGAACTAATTTGCTTTCAATATGAACAAATCTGTCTACATTTGGGCATGTCACATTTGACTAGTGCCCCATTTTTTTTATCACTTAACTTTTTTCTGTGCATCTAAAGATTAAAGATATTATATGTCAATTGATTGTTCTAGATTTGTTACATATTTAATTATGTTATTTAAGTTTAAGTGACATTTATTTCACTTATCGAAAGTCAGTTTTAACATCAATGGATTTCTCTTGAAAACCAAGTGGGATGCATTCACCCATTGTACAGTTGCTGAAGTCTTGCCTCCATTGTTAAAGTGCGGTCATATTAGCAAAACTGCGCTGTAAAAAAGGTCAGTTCCAATTCCAGTAGGAATCTGTGAGATTTTAACTTTCACATGAAGCCAAGTTGGTCTTGCAGATTTGCTGACTAACCATCAGAAAGTTGCTTGGTTTTGAAAGTGATTTCTGTGTGAGCTGTGCTTCATACATCTCTAAGCTATTGACAATGGACGGTGGACCTTTTATTGGCCAAATTTTATTAATGTGACCACACCTTAAAGGGATAGTTCACCCAAAAATGAAAATTCTGTCATTAATTAGTCACTCTCATGTCGTTCCAAACCTGCAAGGCCTTCGTTCATCTGCGGAACACAAATTAAGATATTTTTGATGAAATCCAAGAGCTTTTTGACCCTCCATAGACAACAATGTAACTGAAATGCCAGGCCCAGAAAATTGTGCGCAAAGAAAACAAAAATAACGACTTTATTCAACAATTCTTCTCCCCCGAGTTACCATCTTCTGCCATTATCAAGAGTACCACGACGCATTCTTACGAGCAGAGGAACTCTCTCAAGGGAGAAAAATAGTTGAGTAAAGTCTTTTTTGTTTTGTTTTGTTTTCTTTGCGCACAAAAAGTATTCTCGTAGCTTTGTAAAATTACGGTTGAACCACTGATGTCACATGGACTATTTTACCGATGTCCTCCTTACTACGTTTTTGGGCCTGGGAACATTTCAGTTGCATTGCTGTCTATGGAGAGTTAGAAAGTTCTCAGATTTCATCAAAAATATCTTAATTTGTGTTCCGAAGATGAACGAAGGTCTTACATGTTTGGAACGACATGAGGGTGAGTAATTAAAGACAGAATTTTCGTTTTTGGGTGAACTAACCCTTGAAGACCACACACATTTTAGAGCTGGTTAAACTCATGTTGGGGTTATACTTGTTTTTCTGAATGTAGATGAGTTGTAGATAAATCTGTTCTGCTGTGTTTGTGTAGGGGTTGAAGAAAACATGCAGGAAGTAGTTGGCCACATCACTGAAGGAGTGTGCAGACCACTCAAGGTGAGATGGAAACAGTGTCATTAAGACTGATATTTAAACTTTTATCAAAAAATATCAGCCTGAAGCTGTGGCATAGTTGGTTAATAATTGTGCTTTAATGCTCAAATGGGCAGCCCAAGTTCAAATTCTGCTTGCAACATATCTCAGTCCCATATCTCAGATCACAAAACCAGTCATAAGGGTAAATTTTTTGAAATTGAGGTTTATACATCACCTGAAAGCTGAATAAATAAGCTTTCCATTGATTGTTAGGTTATGGTTTGTTAGGATAGGACAATATTTAGCCGAGATACAACTATTTGAAAATCTGCAGTCTGAGGGTGCAAAAAAATCAAAATATTGAGAAAATCACCTTTAAAGTTGTCCAAATGAAGTCCTTAGCATTGCATATTACTAATCAAAAATTAAGTTTTCATATATTTACGGTAGGAAATTTACAAAATATCTTCATGGAACATGATCTTTACTTAATATCCTAATGATTTTTGGCATAAAAGAAAAATTTATAATTTTGACCCATACAATGTATTATTGGCTATTGCTACAAATATACCCGTCCTACTTTTGACTGGTTTTGTAGTCCAGGTTCACATTAGAGGTCTGCATTCCCGCGGCTCTCCCGCGGGAACTGTGGGACCCGACCAGATTTTTTGTGCCGTGGGATTCAATTCCCGAATAAAACGCGGTAGAGGTCGGTAACTCTGGTGTAATTTGAACGGGAGCGGGCGGTCTAACAATATCCCGTTCCCGACATCCATTTAGAACAGCATATCTGCGCTTTATTCTTATTGACTTGGACTGTTATGCACGCGCTGCACGCATGCTTTCTGCGTCACACGTTTTATTTGCGGGGTCTGTGCGCAGCATGTGCTTAACGATGCTCAGAGCAGGCTGTACCGGTGGTAAATATACGGCCCTCAGACAGAACAGGCAGGTTATCGATGAGTGACAGAGCAGAATAAGGATGGAGCAAAGTGTGGATGTGCTGTCCTTGAAGGACGTTCAACTCAGTTTTGTTTATATTTTGCTTAGCCTATAATTTTAAATGACAGATGTCGTATTTATTTATTTTTCTCTGCTACACTTTTCCTACTGTGTTAACAGAAAAATGTCCAACGAATTTAGTATTTTGACAAGACGAATAACCTAGCTAATAGGCTATTTTTGTACAACCTACATTTTTTTTTTTCTCTTTTTTTTTCTCACACTTTTTGCTATTGTGTTGTAAATGTTAAACTAAATGTATCCTGACAAGACGAATAAAAATAAGAAATACAATTTTTGTACAACATTTTTGATTTTCTCTGACACTTTTTCCTACTGTTGCATAAAATATTAAACGAATTTTGTGTCTTAAGATAATTCATATAAATTCAAGTCAAAGTCAATAAATTCAAGACTCTTGACAAGACTAATAAAATAACATACAATTTTGTGCAGACTACACTTTTATTTGTTAGCCTATCTCTCTTTCAGTAGCAGAAATTTAGATTCTGTTATAGTGAGATTCTGGAAACGAGATCTAAATTTAGCGGGAACAGTCGGGTCGGGAAGAAAATGATTCCAAGCGGACAGCGGGTGAACAAAGAGTGAATATATAGCGGGAGCGGGTGGGTGCGGAATATAACCTTGCGGGAGCGGGACAAAAACAGTCCCGCGCAGACCTCTAGTTCACATATTTGAATGATTAATATTTCAACAAACTCTTTACTTACTCAACAGGCAATAATGAAATCAGATTTTTTATTTATTTTATTTCTCTACCAGGTCCGAATTGAGCAGGTGATCATTGCAGAGCCCGGTGCTGTTCTTCTCTATAAACTCTCCAACCTGCTCAAGTTCTACCATCACACCATCAGGTACACAAACATCTCTGCGAATGACTTTATTGGGTTTATTTGTTTTTTATTGTATTTTATACTACATTTGATGGAAGACAAATCTTTCTTCAATTACTAAAGAACAGAGATCCAAAAATATAGATCCAGTTTTAGGTATAACCTATTGCAAGATGCTCCAGTTTTTCTGAATGCATAAGTCTCTCTCTCAGTGGTATCATGGGTACCAGTGTTTCCTCTCTGTTGATGACCATTGATGAGATGCACATGCTCAGTAAGAAGATGTTCTTCAACAGCCTTAGTATTCACGCCAGTCGCCTCATGGATAAAGTAAGTACATTTCAGTGTTGTTGTTTTTTTTAAATAAAACTAGAACTGTGGGGTAATTGAAATAAAGCTGATATAAAATAAAATGTAAATATTAAATGAAAAGCTTAAACTTAAAAAGTTAAACAAATTAGAAATGTTGCCTTGGCAACTAACTAAAATATTGAGGGAAAATCACATTATGAAATAAATATTTTTCTCTAATACAGTAAGAGGACATGTGTCTATATCGTCCTAATGCACGGTGTGGAGGAGAGTATGAGTGGCCAAAGACTCCCAAGGATGACAGCTGGAGAACTGCAGAAAATGCAAAAAGTATTGGATAAAAGGGTATGATTAATTGTGACCAATGTGTATTAGAGAAAAACATTTATTTGATAATGAGATTTCTCTCCCATTTTAAATTCTTATTCTCCAATGAAAGATTAGATTTTAGTAAATTATTAAAATAAAATATCTAAAGGATTGATGATACAGATTCATTTTCACAGCCATCTTTGATCATATTTACCAAGGGTATGAATAATTTTGAGCACAACTGTAAGTTCAAGTACTAAAATCACTAAAACATTAAAATAAACTCATATATAGATATTTACAAAAAACAAAAACGGATTTAAAAAAAAGCACATAAAATTGCTGAAACTTGATATATAAAAAAATTCTGAAAATATAAAAAAATAAAAATATTTATAAATACTATAATAGTATTCAAACAATACTTAAATAACTCATCCCAAGTTTTTTTTTCTTTTTCAAATCTCTTCTTTTGTTCTAATGTTCCCACATATCTGAAAAGGTGTAAAAATTCAGAATTTTTTACTTACTCTTATGTCAGTAAACCAGTAAACAATGCCTTACCAGCCAATGAAAACACTTTAGCAACTGTCTAAAAACAACCCAGAATACACTAGCATTTAGGCGCTCTAACACAGCATCCTACCCCTATAGCTCTGTAGTGATCAACATAACAAATGTGCGCAAATGTGCCTCACAGTCATTCATCAGTTGGATTTTGTTTTTACCAGGTGGAAAAAAACACATTCTCACACCAGGGATTTTAAATTATCCCCAAAATATCCTTGAACACGAACAGACTAGTTAAAAAAAAAACACTTCGTTGATAAGTGGATCAATAGCCAGAACAAGATGGCCTCCGCTCTACGCTTCTGAAAGAATTATCGCCTTAGCAGCACACTAATCAAATCACCTCAGGCTTAGGACGTTACGTATCACTCCCTGACGTTGCTCGGTGCCAGGAACACAAGCCTGAGCTAATAAGCTATATTAGAGGCAGCAGAGCTCTAGGTAGTGTTCGCATAGCAGGGTGTTTATTAGTCAGCCTTCAGAGGTGTCAGTCTCGCTGTCAGACATGCCTGGCTTGATTTTGAGGGTCTGGAATGGTAAATACCACTCTTAAAAGTCAGAATGTATGGAGTTAAAAACGTGTTGTCAGGGGATCAGTGACATGATGCTCTTTTTGTGTCTGAATGTATTTAAAAAAAAAAAAAACATTAAAAATGCACTTTAATACACGGTGATATTAATACATCTTACAATGGACATGTTTTCAGTTTTGCTGTGAAATTTATACAATATATATTACTTTTTTGAAACAAGATTTTTAAAAGACTTCTTGTTTTCTTGTTTTCTCAGGTAGAGCTTCCACCTCCTGATCTGGGTCCCACTGCCTCTCTCACTCAGACTCTGTCTCTCCTTAGGGAGGTTTTGGCCTCCCATGATTCATCAGTTCTGCCTCTTGATGCCCGTCAGGCTGACTTTGCACAGGTGACTTTTCTTTTCATGTTTTGTGGCAAAATCCAGTGTGTATCTACCTTTTAGTGACTTGAATTTGGCTGATATAAAGAAAGTATCCGAAAGAAATGCTCACTGTTTCTGTTTTGTTTGTCAACTTTATTTATTATACATTTATTAAATTATTTTGTAGAAGAAGTTACTTTTTTTGTTGTTGTTTCATGCAAGAAATGAATCAGTTGTCTTAATATATTTGTATTTATGTTTATACATGTGCAATATTGTCAACTACACTAGTAGACTGATAATATTATACACTATTCCAGTTAGGCATGGAGTGCTTTACTCATATTAATGTCAGACAGATACATTTAGGTCACTCTTTTGTTTTGTTTTTTTGCTTTTTGTTAATCCCTTCATCCTCAATGCTGTTTCTCAGGTATTGTCCTGCATCCTTGACCCATTGCTGCAGCTGTGCACGGTATCAGCCAGTAACCTGGGCACAGCAGATATGGCCACCTACATGGTGAACTCCCTATACATGATGAAGACCACACTAGCGCTCTTTGAATTCACAGACAAACGCTTAGAAATGCTGGAGTTTCAGGTGTGTTACATTATACAATTATAAATTATAAGATAATGTAGATAAGTTAAAATTGTGATGAGTCAAACTGAGTTAAAATGTAATACATTTGTATGTATTTTTATTGGCCACTGACTCTAGATTGAGGCTCACTTGGACACTCTAATCAATGAGCAGGCGTCTTTCGTGCTGACCAGAACTGGGCTTAGTCACATCTACAGCTGTGTCCAGCAGCACACTGCAGAGCAGGTGAGAATGAATGCGAAAACCGCTTAGGATTAGGTAAGGAACAGCTTTTCTTGAATAGAAAGGGATGCTAGGGATGTGCGATCCAATATTCTGTATCAGTATCAGTCCAATATTAAAGATCTAGTACTATGTGTTATGGTTGTTACTGTCATGCTCTAAAAAGAACAAAAAACTATTATAAAAGAACAATTATATTCTAGTTCTTCTGAAGACATTCTGAACTGATTTGAGCTAAATAAGGATATTATTGTCTTTTTAGAGCTTTCACAGTAGAATCTCCATAGTTGTATTTCCATTACTGATTCTGCTATTTTCCTTTTTTAACACTATCACTTGACATTTCAATAGCTTTATTTGAGGAACAGACAGTATATTAAGCTGTCAAATTAATGTTCCCGGAAACTCTTCCCCCTACTGCAGTTGTCACGTCATGTCCCTGAAATAATCAGGCCTTCACTTTAAGTTTTCATTTTGTGATGAGTGATTTTTTTTTTCATGGTTGCTGTCTACACCAAAAATTCCTACTGTAACTAAAGAACAATTAACTATTTTTTTTTAATTAAAGTCCCATATTTACACAATTGTTAATATTTACAAAATATAGAATATAGAGGAATCCAATCCATTTTTTTTTTTAAATGGAAGTGTTTTTAGTTAAGCCTCTATTCTTCTTATTAATCTTTTTATCAGAACTGGGCAGTTCCCTGATAGTAAAGCCTATTTTCAAATCTGGGAATTCAGATGCTATGATTATCTATAGACCAATTAGTCGTCTTCCAAGTTCTTTCCAAAGTGCTGGAGAAGGTTGTATCAGAACCATTTTTGCATCACTTAGAGACTAATAATCTTTTACACCATTTACAATTTGGTTTTAGATATACCCATTCTACAGAAACAGCTACTTGCTTATTATTAGAAAATATTAAGCGGTCACTTGATAAAGGATTCAAAGTTGGTGCAGTATTCCTGGATCTGAAAAAGGCATTTGATACCGTAAATCATAATATTTTAATGTCAAAAATAACAAAGTATAATATATCAAAAAGATCTCTGTTATGGTTTGATTCGTGTTTAAAAAGTCGTGAACAAAGTGTTGTCATTAATAATGTTAAGTCAGTTCCTCATAATATTGATATAGGAATTCCTCAGGGAACAATTTTGGGTTTGATTCTTTTTAGCATTTATATTAATAATCTTCCAGAAGTGTGTCCTGATGCGAGTCTTCAAATGTATGTTGATGACACGGTTATCTACGTATCTGGTAGAAATTGTGTGGAAATTGAAGAAAAGTTAGCAACTTAGAGAAAGTGTCAGCTTGGCTTGATGCCTATTTTTTAACTTTAAATACTAAAAAGACAAAGATACCGTAAATCATAATATTTTAATGTCAAAAATAACAAAGTATAATATATCAAAAAGATCTCTGTTATGGTTTGATTCGTGTTTAAAAAGTCGTGAACAAAGTGTTGTCATTAATAATTTTAAGTCAGTTCCTCATAATATTGATATAGGAATTCCTCAGGGAACAATTTTGGGTCCGATTCTTTTTAGCATTTATATTAATGATCTTCCAGAAGTGTGTCCTGATGCGAGTCTTCAAATGTATGTTGATGACACGGTTATCTACGTATCTGGTAGAAATTGTGTGGAAATTGAAGAAAAGTTAGCAACTTAGAGAAAGTGTCAGCTTGGCTTGATGCCTATTTTTTAACTTTAAATACTAAAAAGACAAAGTCCATATGCTTTTCAATAAGAAAATTACCTGTAACAGAATCATTATACATTAGAATTAAAGATGAGATTATAGAACAAGTATCAGAAGAAAAATATATTGGTATGATTTTCGATTCTCAGTAAAATTTTAAAAGTCATGTTAAAAAGTTGTGTAAAACAATTAAGGCAAATCTTACCAGCTTTTTTAAAATTTGATGATGATATCACATACGGTTATTTGTACCATATGTACCAAATAGTAGCTATTTGGTCTCAGACAAATCAATCCATAATTAATCATGCTGAATGTCTTTACAATAGAGCTTTGAAAATTTTAGATAGAAAGCAAATATGATACCATCACTGACTACGTTTACATGGACATCAGTAATCTAATTATTTACCTTATTCTAAATAAGCCAATATTATGATTATGGTGTTTACATGAGTTGCTTTTAGTATATTCCTTTCATGTTCCCTTTTTACATGTTATAGCAATGATCTTTAAAAAAGCATCATATGACCCCTTTAAATGTTTAAATTGTCTTGCCCCTATTATGTAATTTTTTTTGAGAGATTGCAGGGGAGCAGTAGATCCACTAGAGCGGTTTCTAGTGGAAACTGTAAAGTTATACATTGTAAAACATCATTTGCTCAGACTGTTCTCTCACTAAAAGGTGTAAAATTTTGGAATTCATTGCCTGACTATTTAAAATCTATTGCAAATTATAATCATTTAAAAAAAGCCACGAAATCTTGGTTGATACATCAACGAACTTGTAGTCATGATTAGTGTACTTATATTATAAATGTGTGTACTACTTGTTGTTTTTTGTAACTAATTTATAAAAGCCCTCCTAGGGACAAGTATTGCAAATTAGCTTCGGCTACAAGCACTATGGTACATGCATGTGATGACGGTTATTCCAGTTTCATCTATGTTTATTGTATCTGTCCCTAACAAATAAAACATTAAATAAATAAATTAAAATACTCTGGTCTCATGAGACCAAGTCAGTCATTTTTTGAATCTAACCATCCAAAATGGTATGGCATTGCTAGGGGAGGAGTATAGTGAGAACTGCCTGGTTCCCACAGTGTGAAGTTCAGTGGTCATGAAGTTCTTATATCGGGATTTATGAGTGCTGAAGATGTGGGGGGAGTTGTGCTATATCAATGGTGTCATGAATTCACACACCATTGTGTGATGTAATAGAAAAACTTGAAACAGTAGATTTCCCGTGTTATTGATTTTTCAACATGACAATGACGGTATACAGTGCATTCTCCCAAGGTGAAAATCCTTCAGTGTACAAGTGTTTCACCCACCATTATCACTCTTGAGCACCTGTGGGAAATTTTGTAGAGACACTGGCCATTAAAGATCAGGGAATTTAAAAGAGGTTGTCCTCCAGGAATTAAACAGGACAGATATGACAATTTGTCATGATCTTGTACACTCAAATGCCAAGAAAGGTCAGAGCAGTATACTTAAAGTTATGGAGGACATGTTAAGTACTAGGATAGATAGATAGATAGATAGATAGATAGATAGATATGTATAAAATATTTTATGTAGTAACAAGACTCAGCTTATGGTTAACAAGTTAATGAGGTAGATATTCTAAAACTGATCAAAATAAAAACTCAGAAATAAACAAAAACTTTGCTATTGGCAGATACTCGAAGCTGCTGTATTGTTACCATTATTGGACATGAAAAAAACTCTCCTTCTCTCTTTTTGCTCAGTTGCCCGCTCTAAAACTGCAGAAGTTTCCCAGCGTTACGGGAATTATATGAATTATTCACAGTTTCACAAGACCCAGAAATAAAGCTTTTAAATAAATTCTTCACAGAGCAGCTCATTTACTATTATTATCAGTTATATATTAGTGCTGCTTTTATTACGGCCTGAATATTTTGAGTGTTTCTTGCTTCTTATCAAGGGCACAGGAGCAAATGTGTGTTACAAAACAGAAAGTTTCATCTGACTGAATGAGTATTCTTATTGGATATTCAAAGCTGCTGTAAAATATCAGATATATTTTGTCAGTTAAGGTGAATGTAAACTGTAAACAGGCGTCAAGTTGTCTAATGAACAATATTACATGGTGAAAGAATTAATTTGTTTCAGTCATTATTTTTATTACATTATTTTTAGTTTCATGCACATAATACGAAAGATTAATAATAAAAATCTATAATTATTACTAATAATTGTAATTATTTATTGAACAGCTGCTCTTGCTGCTGTTTTGTAAAAGCAAGAAGCTATGAGAGGCTATTTGTCGTTATTATTATTATTTTACCACAGTTAAGGGGATGTAGATGGGGAAAATGCGAAATGATGTAGCTTATTACTTTAATAGTATTTTGAAGTTTGTGACGTAACTTCTGACTGTTCCATCTTTGAGCTCTCATTTGCAAAACACCATTTGTGACCATCTTTCCCCTTTCATATCACCTCCATCATACATGCACACACTAATAGCGCACATTACTTCCTTTTTATCTTTCTCTCATTTCACAGGAATAGTCTCTATTGTTTATGTGTCTCCTGTTTGGACCTTATTACCGTGGTTACCCTACGGTTAGAGGCTCATTAATAAAATCACATAGTGCAGATTTTCACTCAAATTCATCACATGGCAGGAAATGGCCTGAGACTGAAAAAAAAACACAGAATAGAGCTTATTCTGTAAACACGTTACATTACCTGTCCACATCTGTGTGCACATTTACATGTGCATTTACAGATTAGACAGAGCAAATTATTTATTTTTGTTTTGTTGTTGTTCATTAATGATTTGGCTTCGCACAGCTGATGTTCAGGGCATTCAGCATCTCTCTAAAATTGTATGACGTATTATACAGTGTTAAAATTGATTTTTGTTGTAAATAAAACAAAGATTATTAAAATAGGTTACTTGCCATTTCTAAGAACAATGAATGGCTCTCATGAGCAGATTTTTTTTTTAATGAATCAGAAACATACAGTGGAACTTATGTAGTCTGATTTTTCATTTTAGTGAAACAGTGGAGCCAGTGTAATCTGAGTGAATGATTCTGAATCTGTTTGTTTGAGCCAGTCTAATACATACTGATTCCCAAAATAAATGACTCTTATGATCCAATCTTTTTTAGTGATTCAGAAATATACTGCTCAACCAGTGTAGTCTGATTCTCAAATGAATGAATCTTATGAGCTGATTCTTTTGAGTAAATCAGAAACATGCAGTGCAGGCAGTGTAGATGTACTGTATTTTTCTGCCAATGAAGTGGCACGAATGAGACAGTTCTTTTTAATGAGTCAAACACATAAAGTGCAACCAATGTAGTCCAATTCTCAAATGAACGACTCTTAGAACTCATTTTCACTCTTAGACATTTATTTTAGTGAATCAGAAACACAGTGAGACCAGTCTAGTCAGATTCTCAAATGAATGATTCTTCTGCTAATGAACTGGTACAAATGAGCTCATTCTCTTTAATAAATCACTTAAAGCAACTACTAAATTGTTACTAAAAATGTACTACTTTCATCATGACTTGAATTGTTACTGTTTTATGTTGTTCCTATGGCTTGTGAAACATACTCTCTTTTGGGTGTTCGAGTTTACAACCCAGCTTTGTCTTTCAAGTTCAACTGAGTAATTGTCAGGTGAAAAAGATTCCAGTGAACTTTGTGACTCTTTTGGACATGTACAGGCACTTTAAGCAAGGTGTTATATTACAGAAGACAGGCGAGAACGCAGAAGCATTGAAAGTAAGCACGGGTTTGTGTGGGTCTTGGCAGAGGAGTGCAGTCTGGGCATTTCCACGCCTGTCCTCATCACACACCCCCGTAAAAGGCTGGCATGTGACTAAGCGTCTTTGGACACCTGCTGTCCACAGCACAGGGCACAACTGTCTCGCCTACTGCATCAATGTCTTCTCTGTCCACTCATGCTGTTAAATACAGCATGTCTCGCTTTATATGGCTCATGCTGCCCACAACAGACATGATTCATGAATCTGGCCCTCAAAAGCCAACTTTGTGTGTTATGTTGATGGCATCGTTTTAAAAACGTTATGACCCTCCAAATTGTGTGTACATTAAATGGACCACTGGACACTAAATGAAGATCCTGTTGATGTTTGACACTCACAATGAATCTTTGCCCTCTGTGCATTAAACTGTTGCAGTAGCATGTTAGGCACAATGTGAAGTTCCTAAACCCATAATCAGAATTATTATTTTATAATAAAGCACCCGGACTTCACGAGAGGTTGTGCGTTACAGCACTTCAAAGTGTCTAAAATTTAATTGTAGTAAAAATCAGTGTAATAAATGTCCTGTCATAGTTTATTGCAGTTATTAAGTGGTGGAAAAAGCAATATGGTAAAGGTAAAAGTAAAAAGTAATTATTTTATATTTATATTCTATTAATATACAAAGTTGATAATTATTTGAATGTTATGGCTGTTAACTAATAAATGGCCAAGATTATATATGATATATGTTCATTACTATTTTGTCTAAATAAAACATAAAACCCTAAAACAATCAAATAAATCGTTTTATTTATAAATAAATTGTTTTATAATATGGCCCAATATTGTTCCAATATATTGAACGTTCCTAGACCAAAGACAACAATGAATAATAAGTAGTACAATTTATGATTAATGCTAATCATATCGAACAGTTCTACCACCAAGTAAAGGCGTGGTCACATTAGCGAATATTGGCAAATTTCGCTAGCAAAAATAGTGCCATTAGAGAGTTAATAATTGCTGCATTACAAAATGTGTCAAGTCAATTCATAATGCAACACAAGGATGTGTCGTATCCTCAGTGTTGAACCGTTGCACACTGTACAGTAGATGGTCAAGTGGACCTTTGGGAAACGTTCTATACTTCTTACAGCTTTTTTGTTGTTCTTTTTCCTGTCCTCTTAATTTTTTTTTTTTTTGGTCTCTTCAAGTGTCACATAGCAGCTACGAATTTGGTTAAAATGTGAAATCTCTCACTTTGTGTGTTTTCAAGCTGTTGCACCTATTCTTTCTCTTCGTTGTTTGTGTTATGTCTGTGCCGCAGGCTGTCTCAGTTCGCAGAGCTGAAGAAAAGTAGTTTTGTATTCTTCACTAATGGTTTGCTGTGTTCTCCCTCCTAGGGTCCCTTGGCCAACCTCCCTGGAATGGACAGCACATCCTTAAAAACAGCTATGGTAAGACCTGTTTCTTTATTAAGTTCTTTTGAACAGGACTACTTTTTCTTCAGAAGGTCAGATAAATTCATGTTTTCAGATGTATTTTGTGATTTTTATTTATTTTTTTATTTTTAATCTGGTCTGAATTGAAAATGTCTGTTTTCCTCACACAACCTGCGAAACAAATTACCTACTGTTTTTCAGCGAACTGATTTTAGATCATTGTGGGTTTCAGACCTTTTTACCACATTTCTAGGAAAGGTGAAATCGTATTGAAATCTTATTTCACATTAATTTTAGATTAAATCACAGACGTCTTTTGTTAAAAATTGTAAATCAACAAAACAAATCCCTTCCGAATAGTACTTACAGTTTTATCAAGTCTTTTCTTTGCATTCTTGTTTTGTCTGTTGTACTCACAGGTCCAGTTTGACCGTTATTTGGCCTCTCCTGATACACTTGTGATGCCGCAACTCAACTTCCTGCTCAGTGCTGCTATCAAGTAGGAGTCAGCTCACATTTAGCACACATTCTGTCTATAATACAGCCAGTTGCAAAGAACATGAATCATTTTGTTTCAAAACAATTTTACAATTACACACTTTCCCCCTTTTATAAACAAAAAGCTCAAGAATGATGGAAAATGGAAAGTTCGCAGAAAATGGAAAGTTCACAAAAAAATGGAGGCTTCCATGAAAATGTAATCACTGCCATGTCAGTCCATACCTGTATAACTTACTTTCTTCTGTGGAACTCAAAAGTAGATGCAGAATCTCTAAGCTGCTGTCCTCCATACAATAAAAATAAAGTAGGATTGGGGATATTAAGCTATAAAATTTATAAAAATAAATGTGCATAATACTGTAGATATCCATCATAGCAGTGGCAATTTACATATAGATTATAAGTACAAAAAAAAAACCTTGCTATGTGTACTGCGTTAGGCTAACTGAGACTTGTCATAGCACTTGCATTTCATTGCTGATTTGGATTGCTTCCAATGTCCTCATTTGTAAGTCACTTTGGATAAAAGCTTCTGCTAAATGACTAAATGTAAATGTAAAGTACAATTTCAAAAACGGCGTGTTTAATTATAAGTCTGAGAATCATTCATGAAAACCTCATGGTAACACTTTACAATAATATTTCTACATACACTACAGTTCAAAAGTTTAGAGTCAATAAGAAATTTTAAGAAATGCATTCTTTTATTTAGTATTAAATTGATCAAAAGTAACAGTAAAGACGTTAATGATGTAAAAAGACTGGTCAGGTAAATGCTGTGCTTTTTGAACATTCTATTCATCAAAGAATCTCGAAAGGTTTTTCTACAAAAAATATTAAGCAGAACTGTTTTCAACATATTATTTTCAGAATGTTTTTTGAGAACCAAATCAGCATATTAGAATTATTTCTAAAGGATCACATGACACTGAAGACTGAAGTAATGGCTACTAACAATTCCGCTTTGCCATTGCTGGAATAAATTTGATTTTATAATAAATTAAAATAGGAAACAGTACAATTGTAATAATATTTAATACAATATTGTTACATTTAACTGTATTTGTGATCAAATAAATGCTGCCTTGCTATAAGACACTTATTTCAGAAAAATTTAAAAATCTTTACCAACCCCAAACTTTTGAATGGTAGTGTAAATTAACAATGAAAATATTTATTGGTATTTTACACTTAAATTTTTGAGTTCATCTTAAGTGGAACTGGCAATTTCAGTCTATTGCTAGCATAGAATATTGCCCCTTTAAAATGTTGTATTTTTTTTGTAAAAGTACACATCACATTTTCAATCCTCATATACAATTTCACTGAACAACATTTCAGTTCTTGTCTCAATTTTTTGTCACATGCATTTGTTTACTAGCTACAATTTAGCTACACGATTTCTTACTACTCAGTCACATCCAACCTAAACAATGTTTTGGTCCATAAAATCGATCTGGCCGTCATCACATTAACGAAGCGGTGATGAGCATGAGAGGTTTCTCGGGCATTTGTTCTTGTCTCCCTCTCTTCCTTGTAGTTGGTGCTTTTAGCATCAGCACATCAGTGTGGTGTTGCTATTTGAGCGGTAGAGAGGCGCACACACTGAGTCACATTGTTACTGGGAAATGTAACAGGCTTGAGGAGCACTCACTGTCCCTCAGGTTAATGTTCTCTATTAATGGAGATGGACTCGTGCACAGGCTTGGCACAACTAATTAGCTCCTGGTCCATTTCTCTCTCTCTTTCTAGCTATCTCTCCACACATAAACACGCCACACGTGACTGAACTCTGCATGAGACACAAAGACAAAATAAATAGAGATGGATCCGTTTGCACACACATAATTTTGTTCTGTACATTTCATTAAATTTGGTTAAAGAGATCAACCAAATATGAAAATTCTGCCATTATTTAATCAGACTTGTGTCTTTCAAAACTTCATGAAGTAGTTTTTGCTGAAAATCTTGACATCTGCCCATGTTTTCATGTCTGATTCATATAGGAATTGTTCTTTTGGGTCGGGCATTATAGTGAATTGTTGGATCCAATTCACAAAACTCTTCTGAATGATTTGTGGATCTGACTGATCCTGTTATCAGATTTATCTTGATCGAGTTCCTCACTGATTAACAGCTCTCTAGAATGAAAGATTATCAGTGAGTAACGACGACTATTATTCACTGATAATAATCTATTTCTTGTACAAACCCAGATGGCTTCTGAAGAAATATAGCAATATACACTCACCGGACACATTTTAGGTACACTTGTTCAACTGCTGACTAATGCACAGACATGGTCAAGACAATTTGCTGAAGCTCAAATTGAGCATCAGAATGGAGAAGAAAGGTGATTTAAGTGACTTTGAGTGTGGCATCATTGGTGCCAGGTGGGCTGGTCTGAAGATTTCAGAAACTGCTGATATATGGGCAAAAATGGCTTGTTGATGTGAGAGCAGAATGGCCAGACTGGTTGAGCTTATAGAAGAGCAACAGTAGCTCAAATAACCCTTCGTTACAACCGAGCTATGCAGAAGAGCATCTCTTAACGGACAACACGTTGAACCTTGAAGCAGATGGGCTACATCAACAGAAGACCACTCTCCTGTTAGCTAAGAACAGGTAACTGAGACTATAGTTCACTCAGGCTCACCAAAATTGGACAGAAGAGGATTGGAAAAAGGTTGCCTGGACTGATGAGTCTCGATTTCTGTTGAGACATTTGGTTGGTAGGGTCAACATTTGGCGTAAACAACATGAAAGCAAGGATCCATCCTGTCTTGTATCGACAGTTCATGCTGGCGGTGGTGTAATGGTGTGGGGGATATTTTCTTGGCACACTTTGGACCTTTTTGTACCAAATGAGCATCGTTTAAACAGCACAACCTACCTGAATATTGTTGCTGGCCATGTCCATCCCTTTATGACCAAATTCTGACTCCACCTCCTGACCCATCTTGTGATGGCTACTTCCAGCAGGATAACACACCATGTCTCAAATCTAAAATAATCTCAACTGGCTTCTTGAACATGACAATGAGTTCACTATACTATACAGTCACCAGATCTCAATCCAATAGAGCACCTTTAGGATGTGGTGCAACTAGGGATTTGCATCGTGGATGTCCAGCCGACAAATCTGCTGCAACTGCGTGATGCTATCATGTTAATATGGACTAAAATCTCCTTGCTTAATCTATAGCATGAAGCATTAAGGCAGTTCTAAAGTTCTAAAGACAAAATGGGATGTACCTTGTGGCCGGTGTGTAAAATGAAGATATATGAAATGTTGTGTTTGCGTCCTTTATGAAGCTTGCAGTCCTTTTAATTTTAATCACATGGAAGAGAACAACATTTTGTGTTTCAATGGAAAATGTGACGTGTTTGGTACAACTTGAGAGTGAGTAAATGACACTTTTTTTTTTTTTTGGAGTAAATTTAAAGCCAAGCCTTAATTTGATATGAGGCCTATTTATGTATGAGATAAAGGTTCACATGCATGTTAATTGCTTATTTACCATTAAGACTGCAGTATATACATATGTGTAGCTGTACTAGCAGAAGTGCATCTGTAGAGGGCAGTGTTACAGTAGTCCTGAACTGAACCCAGATCAGTGTTTTGTGTGGCTCTACTGTCTTTGCTCACTCATCCAGCAATATTCGGACCAGTTTATGTAGTTTTCAATTAGGCGATTCATGTGTGATGTGTTTCCAAGAACCCAGATCAACGGAAGTACCCTCAAAAACCAAAACAGCACCAAGTTATGGCTACCGAAGTGTTCCTAGAGTCATTTATCTGTGAAGTTGTTTTGATTCACTTAGTTTGCTCAGTCACAAAATGAAAAATATAGTTGTCAAGTTAGCCTTGACCGGTTTATTTACTAATCATGTATGGTAAAAAGGTTTCAACAGCTACTCATTTTATTATTTGGGAAACTCTTGTGTCTGTCTAACATGATACATGAAAGTGTAGTCAGCTACAATAAATTCATGGTGTTGTCCATTTTATTTAATTACAATGATATCAACAGTGTGACATGAGTACTGTAATGTGATCTGTAACTAATATAAATGAACTCAAATTGAATGTGTAAATTTAACAAAGTATTCAGAATAATTCTCTCTCTTTCTCACAGGGAGCAGATCTTCAAACAGTCCACAGAGCTGGTGTGTCGTGCGTATGGAGAGGTGTACAAAGGTGTCACCAACCCTACAAATGCCTATAAAGATGCAGAGTCTGTCCTGCACAGAACCCCACAGCAGGTACAAACCCTGCTGTCCTGAAATGTGCCGCACCACATCCTACAAACTGTGACAAGCAAGGATTTGACTTCCACACTCAGTGTTCTGGGACTGATACTGAATTCTGGCCACAAGACAAGACCATATTCAAATACTCATCTGGTGATGGGGAGGGGTTTATCATTTTTAATCGTTAATTATGTGAAACAAAGACACTCCAGTGATAATGAGTATATACAGAAAAATTATCTGTCTAGATTTCTCAAATGTTGATCTGCAGGCGCTGCTGTTTGCCAGAGGAGAGGAGAGGACAGCTCACACAGAGAAAAAAAAAATTTGTTTTTCCTTCCCATGTGAATGGATATCTTCACTAGCAGGCCCAGGGAAGCAAACTATAGACCATTTCATTGCCACATACAGATTCACATGCAGTGAAATATACGTACAGTCATTTCATTATATACACGGGGGCTTTTTCGTTCACCACCACAGAGGCCTGATATGACTCGGCGTCAGTCTGTAATCAGAAACAGCTCTGTCTTTCTTCTCTTTAAATCATTTTTTTTAACTGCATTAAAATACACACTTAAAAGTTCACAGACTTGTCTGTCTCACAGTTTTTTACCTCTCAGCCTCTTTTGAAAGAGATAGTTAAAAGAAATTTTGCGGCCACCCAGTGGAGAAGTTGACCAATGGGGAGAAAGTCGAAGGCATTCTCTCAGACAATGGTGCTTTCATGTCAGTGGCCCAATGGGCAGTCACGCCATCATTTAATTGCCGACAAAACGCCTGCCAGTGCTCGTTCGTCAACTAAATTTAGCAGAACACTGAAAAACAGTGGAGAAAAAAAGCAATATTACTCTCAGACTATTAATAGAAGTTTGTACCAGTTCTGAAATGGAAGCAGACAGAATAGTAAGGCCTAGCAGAAGTGCAGGGTGACAGATAAAGACCACTAGGATGTGAGGAGACTACAGTGAACTCAGTGTGTGAGAGTCGCTGGGGGCCACATTGCCTCTCATCTGGTGGAATATTTTGAGTGTGTCACATGGCCGCATTAAAGGGACTCTCCCTGCGGTGCCCGTAGCCAAGACGCCCCTCACATGCCTCGCATTCAGCTCGAGGCTTTCAGCTAGCAAAAAGCAAAGTCAAGTGAAGTACAAGTGCGACACTGTGGTGTGGAGTACTGTGAAATGGGTTATGAATATAAATTACTATTTTTAACCCAGATCACATCTGTGGGAGGGACGGAAACCCATTTTGGTTATCGCACAGCATCTAAACCTGCAACACATCATCTGAACTGGAAACATTTTGTGTGCGGTGCAGGGTCAGTCTGAGTAGGTTTCAAAAGCGCATGCTTTTTCTACATTCATTGGTTGAAAAAATTATTCAAGCACTGAAGTGAAGTGGTGTAATACATACATTTTACCCGGAAAAGCCTGAAATGTTAAATAATAGTCAGAAAATTTCATTTTTTGAAATGGTACGATTTATTGAACTCTTAGACAAAAAAAAGGTCCCACTTTATATTAAGAGGCCTTAACTATGTACTTACATCAAAAAAGTTTTTTTTTTTTGTTACACTATTTTAACGTGTCCTTGTTACAGTGTCATTATGCATTTAAGTATTGAGTAATATTAATTAACTACATGTACTTATTATGGTTAGGGTTTGGTTTAGGGTTACTTGCATGTAATTATATGTATATATATATATATATATATACACACACACACACACACAATACTTTTTACAATACAGATTGTGTCAAAGCAGCTTTAGAGTATATACAGCTTTACATTTTTATTTTATTTTTCAGTGTGTTCAAAGTTCTATTACTCAATACCAATAAGACTTACAGTAATTCTGACTATTGAGGAACACACCTCAGACTGTCACCTTTCAAAAGAGACCAAAACCATGTATGTACTCCAAATGGTTCAAGAACAGCATGCAATTTACTTTGGGTATGCCTTTTTTAGGCGTTTTAGGCAAATTTTACAGGAATGCTAAAGGGTTAAACAGGAAAATAGTGTGTTGAAGGAACCAAAACGCCATCATTCTCCTCTGGCCAGACGAAACCAGCAGTTTAATTCCAGGCTGCAACAAATTCAGATTGTGCAGAGGACTTATCTGGTTTCCGTACAATGTACTTGTTGTGGTCATATTGTATTGCAAAACATTTTTGCTGCTATTGAGGTGGAATATGGGTAAGGTTAGGGACAGGTTTGGTGGTATGGGTAGGTTTAAGGTGTAAGGGATGGGTCAACAGTGTTGTAACTATAAATGTAATTACAGAAATTAATTACAGATGTAATTACATGCAGGTATTTTTTAAATTATAAGTACAATGTAAAAACATGTATATACACAATAAGTGCATTGTACCAAATGATTAATTCAAATGTAAGTACATAGTTAAGGCCACTTAATATTAATGGGACTAAAAAAATCTATAGTGTGATATAGTGAGAATATGGAGTTCATAGCAATACAAAGGCAAAGGCCACTGTGCGGGAGCACTTTCATATTTTCCAGATGACAGAGAAAAGAACTTAAAATGCTCTGTCACTTTTGATTGGACACATAAAAGTAATACATCACTTGAATCTGTAAAGGGTCTACTTTTATTTTTGTATGCTCACCATATCAACAAAACTTTGTGCTTTTGTTAATACAAAACAACTGTCCTAATGTACTGTGATTAATCGACTAGGGAAGTATGGTAATATCTATTAAATTTTTTTTTTTATGTTCACCTGTGGTGCCTTAGAATTCTTTTTTTAAATCCCCTTTGAGTGAATGTGGCTTAAGTGTCCAAATACTTTTTTGGGCCACTGTACAACACTACTTTAGGCTTTAAGAGACTATATGCAATTAAGTTTATTTTAAGTTTCTCCCTGCACTGTACCGCCACAACTCTTAACCTTACATGCTTTTAAATGTTACGCTACGAGACGTTATCTAAGCGGGGTCAATACTGAGGTGTTGGACTCTGTAATGTGATGACATCATGGCTGTGGATAGACTGCTGGATTCAGATCTTGACTAACCCCACCCCAACCCGTGCAAACCCACAATCAACACAGTCTGTGCTATATATATATATAAATATATATTTTTTTTTAATTAGATGTTTTTTTTTTTAGATATATTATATCTAAAAATATATTATTATAGAATAGATTTTCTATCTGTTTTTGGAAAAGAGACAAACACATTGACATTAAAAAAACTATAATAGTATATTAGTGACATTAAAATAATGCTGCTGTATATCCAACAAAAATAAACTGCATAGGGACTCGCAGCCTGTTGCAACTAAAATAATTTGTCAAACTTAAAAAGCTTTAAACTTCTTCAAACATGAAACCTTAAAACCTTATTTTTTGAATTCTTACAGAATTAAAATGACTGTTAACGCTGTATAGTTACAGTTATCTTTATAGTTATTGTCCTTGTTGAGACCGAGTCTTTAGTCTGGTTTAGGATGGTCTAGTCTTGGTCTAGGTCTTGGGTTACACTTTATTTTAAGGTGTCCTAATTATACATTTAAGTACTGAGTAATATTAATTAACTACATGTACTTACTATATGGTTAGGATTAGGGTTTGGCTTCGGGTTACTTGCATGTAATTATGCATAATTTATTGTTATTATAATAGTAAGTACATGTAACGTGTAACAAAGACACCTTAAAATAAAGTGTTACCAGGTCTTGTATTGTCTGCTCTTGACTCAAACTCAGGGTGTTACCACAACAAGTACACAAGTACCACCTACGAACATGACTCTTTTGATTGGTCGCCTGTTATCAGTTGTTTTTTTACACCTTCGCTTCCCACTAAAAGGTTCGTAAAAAACCTTTGTTAAAAAACTGTTATAAACATTTATACCTGCTCATGTCAGTGAAAGTGTTCTGTGTTAATGAGTATTACACCAGCTGGTGGTTTAGGTTTGCGCAAGTATCAGTGTGCAATGAAGCACATGGCCGTGTTTAACTAGACGCACACACGCTCATCCTTTCCCATTAGCACATGTTATATGGCAGCTGCACCAGTGTGCAACAGGTGTTGTGTTCCATTGACAGGTGTAAGAGGAACCATTAGGGTTAACACTTCAGAGCACACAGCTGACATATCCATCCATCCGTCCGTTTCTCTGTCTGTGCTATCTTAATTAACCAGAAATGCCCTGCATTTGCCCTTTTGACCTACTTTGCAGTCAAACCGGTTTCAGTATACATTAAACTGGCTGTTACAGCTGGCAGGAGATCAGTTTTGCTTGGAACACTTTGCCCCATGCTGTGTCCCAATTCTCCGTAATATGCACTAGGTACATACTTTTGAGTGTGTTCTTAGACAATATGTGATGTGATCATTTTGAATTGGAAGCCACTGAGTCGTTTGTGGGGTTGTTGTTGTTAACTATAAAAGTAAAACTATTAACATTAATTTTTGTTAGTTGAAAAAAAGTTGAAATAAAATATAACTGAGTGAAAAAGGCAACTGAAGTACTACATTGATTAAAACTAAAATGGAAATAAAAAATAAAGCTAAATAGAAATATGTTAAACAAACTAATAAAAATCACAAAAGCATTTAACCAAATTGCTAAAATTAAATTTATAAAAATAAAAGCTAATCCAAAACAGTAATAAATATTATAATAGTATATTAAAAAAAGTATGCAATTTGCAAAATTCTCCTTATTTGTGGAGAAATGCAATTATAAACAAACAAAAAAACTGTTTGTGTGTAAGTCTCAGTTTCGAATTATGTCATTCTTATTACAAAATTCCAATAATAAACATAATTTCTTCATAATTTGTGAGACAGATTGCTGTAGCCTCCACTGGCAGCATGTAGCATACGCAAACCAATAACCTCTTTCTTCTTACTATACAAAGACAACATGAATGCATATGCAAACCAATGATATCTCTTTTTTTAACATATACAAAAACCATATAAATGCATATCAGTGGGTTGAAAGATGCAGTACAACTTATATCTCTCATGCATATTTATTTGCCTTTATTTAATTTTGAATTTCATTTATTTTAATTAAGTTTGGATAAATCTCCTAATTCTGTCATTATACAATGCCTGAAAATTGTTTTATAACATCCACTGTATTAAATAATTATTATATAGACAAATATTTAGAGCAGAAACATACTAATTATGTCATTAGAAAGCAGAAACTGAAAAAAATGACCATTTTAATTTAGTGCATGTAATCAAAAATGTGTTTCTGGGTCAAAATGATTCTGGGTCAGGCTAAAATGTCATAAATCTGTGACTTTAGCCACATA